CTGTGAGAGCCAGAAATCTTGCTTGTTTGTAGGTGACCAAATACTTATTTTACCGAGGAATTTACCAATTAATTCTTTAAAAATCCTACAATGTGATTTTCTGGATTTTTTTTCTCATTTTGTCTCTCATAGTTGAGGTATACCTATGATGAAAATTACAGGCCTCTCTCATCTTTTTAAGTGGGAGAACTTGCACAATTGGTGGCTGACTAAATACTTTTTTGCCCCACTGTATACTGTGAACAGCACTATACAGACACACTGAAGCGAACGGAGAGTTCTGCTCTAACACATGCAGCACGTGTAACACTGAGATCTCTGGGGAGTTTAGTCGGTGTAAATGAATGTCGGTTTTAACTGTGTGAACATCGTACCAGACGCTTGTTCTAGGAGGTTTTATTTTTAATGAGCTGTTATTTAAATGAAGCTAATGAATTGATATGATGATGTTAGAGCTGTTTGACAGAGGAATGACTTCAGAGGGCATCAGTGACGGACACACAGCTGAGAATCGCAGACAAACATGACACAGTCATGCTATATACAGATATATATATATATAGACAAATATTTTCTATTCATATTGCCAAAGCAACTGTTTAATTAAAATGGTGTAAAAAGAAAAGAGAAGCAAAACTACATAAAACTTAAGAAGAGAAACAACTGAAAAAAAAGAAATGCAGCACAACGGGGTTAGAGGTCAGAGGTCAACACAGCACTATGACCTCTGTCTAGCAGTGTTTCCTGTGGAAGAGGAAGTGCACACATGCACCTGATGGCAGAGTTCAGAAAGCCCAGCCGGTCACAGAAAATCACTGAAAGAACCAGAGCAGCCAAGCAGAAAATGACCCGATGGATCATGTTTAAGTTTCACATGCGCACACAAACTTACCCAAGCGCAAAAGCAAACATTAACACTCGTCTTAGTGCTGCCGACACCACATTCAACAAGCACGTCTCACACACACACACACACACACACACACACACACACACACACACACACACACACACACACACACACTCTCAGTGGTGTGACCCACGGGGCACGTGGATGTTGAAAAAGTGCTTTGCTGTTTCTGAAGTGGACATTATATATTCATACGCATGAAGAGGCTCATTATCATCATCTGACAATCACTGACCCTTTAATAAATGGCTCACGTTCAACATGGCTCCGTGTTCTCCTGCGATATTTATTCAGTGTTGTCGCTCAATATTAACATACTCGTTTGCAGCATTTATAATTAATTTTTTCACTAAAACAACATTTTAGGATCTTTTAGCTGAAGTTCATGTCAGACTCTGCAGTGTGTGTGTGTGATCTCTGATATGCGAGGACACAATCTATGAGAATAATCTCATGCACACACACTTCTGATTGAAGAAGATCGTCAGTGTATTGTGCCTGTCAATCAATTTGTGCAAATCCGATTGGCTAGAATCCTTAGATGGTGGGGCTTTCTGCTGAGGGATGGGAGTGGTCTAATTCAGTGAAGTTAAACATTTACCTTTTACAGTTATTCATGTAGCAGATGCTGTTATTCTCCGTGACTTGTAAATGAGGAGGATGACAAGCAGTTAAAGTTTGAGGAATAGTTCCCCTCTAAAGAAGGGCTGATCTGCTTAGCCGAGAGATCCAGTGAAGGAAGACGAGTGTTTAATTGTGAGCGTTTCATGCGAGCAGTTAAATTCTCTCTTCAGAAATAATGGGCAGGTCTTAGTGAAGGCCGACGGGTCAAGAGCAGCAATCAGCCTTTCCAGACAGCGACATTTTGTTTCAGATGAGATTACAGCAGCGCCATAATATAAACATCAGTGTTCAGCACAGATCTTCATTAAGATACATCAGCGTAATGAGAGACGATACAGTGTGTGGAACTGAGAATTAATTCGTGTCACTGTGAAGGTCTGCCTGAGCGTTTGTGTGTTCTCTTGTGTTTTGTTTCTTTGAAACATGACTTTGGTATTTTCACAGTTTTAAGTCAGAGCATTGTGTTTGCTGGTCTCTGAAGGCTGGTTCACACAGGCAAACGGCAGCATTTCAAACTTTCTGAAGTTGACTGTGTGATTTAGCATGTAGCAGGTCATTTTCACACGAACAGATCTGAAACACCACAGGCAGTTATTTGGACGACTTCACAAACCTCAAATCTCAGTGTCTGCGCAGTTTCTCAATGAATATCTGTTTTGAAACCATAACCCTGTCTGTTTGTATTCAGTATGCTGCTGTAGCTAATCAAATGTTCCCTTTTGTCTTGCAGGTCTGGGGAATGCCGGCCAGTAGAACGTTCCTCGTGTAGGATAAGGCTATTTGAATGAACATGGACAAATGACCTGCATGTTAAGACTCAGCCATGAGCATCACCTGTGGTCCACAGGACTCAAGATAGCTGCATCACGCCTCTCAGCATCATCCTGAAGGAAACCCAAGAATCACAGTGCTTTGAAACCTCAATTGGAAGCCTCTCAGAGAAAACTTAAATTGGCGGCCAAGCTGGGGCTAAAAAGCAGGAATTCCCATCTATCCCTCATCACGCCCTGCCTGTGCCCGATGCACCGACCAATGGAGAGACTACGGAAAGAGTCTGGATAAAGTGGAGACAGGCCAAGAAAGAAAGAGAAAACGAGTGAACGATTGGCCCGTCTTGGCCTCATCTGTGATCATAGTCAAAGAGAATCTTTGAGCGCTATCTCTGCTCTGCCGAGACCAGGTTTCTGAGCTCGTATCATCAGGGTGGGTGAAATGCAGTCTGGGTGCTGGTCCTCTCTCTGGCCCCTGTGGCCCTTGCTGTTGGCTGGACTCTTTCTGTCGGCGGGGGCCCTGGAGTTCGGCGGGGCCCCGGGGCAGTGGGCTCGCTATGCCCGCTGGGAGGCCGGCTCGATCGGGGAGCTCAGCTTTAGTCTGAAGACCAACGTGAGCAAGGCGCTGGTTCTGTACCTGGACGACGGCGGGAACTGTGACTTCCTAGAGCTGCTCATCGGCGGCGGACACCTGCAGCTGCGCTTCGCCATCCACTGCGCCGAGCCAGCCGCCCTCCAGATGGAGACCCGTGTCAGCGACGACCGCTGGCACATGGTGCTGCTCACCCGTAACTACCGCGAGACCATGCTGATGGTGGACGGGGAAACCAAAGTGGCAGAGGTGCGTTCCAAGCGCAAGGAGATGGCGGTCGTCAGCGACCTGTTCGTGGGGGGCATCCCTCCGGACGTGCGTCTGTCCGCGCTCACGTCCAGCACGGTCAAATACGAGCCTCCGTTCATGGGCTTGATCTCCAATCTGAAGGTGGGCGAGATGCCTCCCACTCTACTCAACAGCAACGGCATTCATAACGATCTGGAGTATCTGTGCGTCAAGCAAAACCCCTGCCTCAACGGGGGATACTGCAGCGTCCAGTTCGGCGAGGTCTACTGCGACTGCTCTCACACACGCTTCCGAGGGAAATACTGCAAAGAAGGTAAGACGTTTCTTCTGCTTCTTTGTGTTTGTTTAGGTTTGGATGCATCCAGGGGGAATGTTTCAGACGAGGTGTCGTTTGTTAAGTTTATGCTCATTCTTCTGTTTATGGCGTTCAATCTGTTGTAATGGTCGTGCTACAGAACCCTTGACTCTTACAGACTGCAGTGCTGGTTTGATTGGACTTTCTCTGTCTATCTGTTGCTATTCTGAATGGATTTTGGACATTTTGTGTTAGGCCCTTTAGACGGTTGAGGCTGTCCTAAAAGAGATGAATCACTGCTTCTTATATTTTGTTCTCCCCTAAAGCAAGTTTCATTCAATTCTCTCCCAATCGCTCGCTGTCTTCAGTTCGAGAAAGCAATCCAGTTTCTCGGGCGAGATCCATTTTACACTCGTCTATACTCATCCATTACTCTCTCCTCCAAACCCACTGCTTTTACTCTCTTCTCCTGTCTTCTTTCTCTCTATCTCACCTCATCTGTGCTTCGCCTATTATCTCAGCCAGTTCTTTATTTTTCATTTTTCACACTGTTGGTTACATTTCTGAGTTATTATGGCACCTTCACTATTTTAAATATTTTCCACATTTAAGACCAATAGCACAGTGATCAAAACTGTAATTAGCACATGTTATACAAATATAAATGCGTATTAATGTTTATAAGGTATTCTCTCACTTTATATACAGCTGAATTTGTACTGCATGTTTACTTCAAAGAACCTGCAGGATATTTATCCTTTAGGGAAATTAGGGGGGCCGTAAAATGTACTTGTTTTGTATGTAGTCCTACCATGATGAAGCTCTCTCACAGATATCTGCATCTATCCACAGAAACAGTAATAACCGAACTGACACACATGATGCTGTTGAGCTCTTGGCTCTTCTGATGCTGTGTATCTTCCTGGTGTGTGTGTTTTCTGATAATTGTTCATGAGTCCCTTGTCTCTCCGGAGCAGTTAAACTGCCCACTGCTCTTCAGAAACAGTAGCTGTAGCTGCACATTCTTTGGTTTTCCTGCATCTTCTGCACATTTGAACCCTACCCAGCAGTAACTGTGTGATGTTGAGATACAGCTTTCACACCGAGGGCGATTGAGAGATTCAAACACAACCAAAAGCTGCAAACATTCACTGATGATTAATTAAAGTGTTATTAGTTTTTGTCTTGTGGGAAATATGTAAATAGCTTATGTAGTTTCTGAAGGGCAGTACTTAAAAAATAATCTCATCTCTTATATTTGTATACATTCTCAAAGTGGGTTATAAACTTAAATAACAAAAGGGGCATGCATTGCAAACTTACGCACTCAACGATGTTTGTGGTTGTACATATAATATTTTGTGTATGTTCAGAGCCTTTGGAGGGGGTGTTGGGACGCCTGTGTTGCTTCTGTCAGTCCACTCAAAGTTTTCAAATGATATTCAAACTGAGATTCTGCTCTCCATTTCCCATTTGTTTTTCGGTATTCTCTCTCTTCTGTGTTGGGATGTGAGTCGGAGGTCGTGGAGTTTGATACCGCTTGGCTCTCGGCTAAACTGAGAGCAGCATACCAATGCAGCACCGCTGTGACCGCAGGAAAGGTTTGTCCTTTTGAGAAAAGGCTATTGAGATGTGTTTCCTTCACTCCGTGTCGACGTGTTTGAGAAAATGTAAAGCGGCTTGTGGGCAGAAACTTGAGTTATTCGCTCTGACTTTCTGAGAATGACACAGCGGGAATAATCTCGTTAAACGGACGCGGCAGTCGTTGTGTGAGTTCTGTATTAGTTTCTGCATTAGAGATTTATTTCCCTGGGGAGTCTTCAGCAAAGGAGTCTAGTGTTCCCCCCCAGGGTTAGATGAGGTATCAAGGTGTGCTAGTGCTCCATTTCTGCGTGTAATGTATGTTTGACTACATACAGTATTATAGAGTACTACTGCATGTATTTTCACATTTCATGCAGTAGTTCTTCCAAAATTGAAATTTCTGTCATTGCGTCTGTCGTTGTGCTGCTTTTTGTAATTGATGTTGACCAAATGTGTTGGTGACTTCTCATCTCCAATCACAGAGCGATTCACGTTTAATGATGATTTGCTATCGGCTCTAAACTGATACCTATGCACTCCGCAAAAGAGACAAAACTGCTTTACAGATGGTTTGACTTTTTCAGTGGCGTTTGAGTCACATCCTTTTAAATGTAATTTTTCCATTTTTTTTAGGTTTAGTAAGGTAAAATGTGTTAACGGTAGTTTGTGCATTAGGTGCCATGAACTAAAATATGAACAGCTTTTACAGCACTTCTTCATTTTGGTTGATTTCTGCATATACTAATGTACAGTTCCATTAGCTAACGATTATAAACAACAGTGCATTTATAAATCAACTTTAAGTAAGTAAGTAAATGCTGTAAAAATGATTGTTCAGTGTTAGTTAATGATACTTAGTTAACATTAATGTGAAGTGCTTATTTTGGTCTTGATATTTGTTCTGCATTAATCAGTGTGTTTCTCCGTTTGCCGAGTTAAACCCCCTCAGATTTTAAAGTGAATTGTGCATTATGTTGCTTTTGAACTCAAGAATGTGTCTTTGTTCACGTCCCTTAAGAAAGGCACCTGATTCCTCAAGACTGGTAGAGTGCTAGACTAGTGGCTGTTGCTGGATTTTCTGTTTGTCTGAGCAGCGGCAGACGGAGAGCGATCAGGAATCGTTCTCTGTTTGCTGACGCTAGTTGAGCAGAAATGACTCTGTTGTTAGTTTATGGAAATGCGTTTCAGTCGCTCGGAGCCCAGAAATTATGCCGGGACTGTTTTAATGTGGTTTCATGTGTGTTTTCCTCAGAAATGAAGCGCCTCGTGCAGCCTGTCAGACGAGAGATCTCAGGCCTCTTTCTGTAATTACAGATGTAAAATCAGATTTGCGTGGAGCAGGAGGGCGAGAGATTAAGGGTGCACATTAAGAGCGATCAGTTAAACGACACGAGCCATGTGCAGTCGCTTGTGCTGATTGGATTAGAGCGGGTTTATGAGCAAATGTCTCTGGTGTAAATTACCGGCAGATGGCTGTGTTAAACATTTACACGAGGACGAGTCAAACCAGAATGTGCCTCTTAATGTAAATATTATAAATATAACCAGCTCTCAGCCATCGTTGGAGTTGAGCAAACACACACACACACACGTATTTCAGTGTATTCGAATGGCTCAGTTTGTCCTCGCGGCTCGGGCGAGCCTCAGCACCGGTTCACAGAGACACCAAAGTGTGGAGGTCATTTAGGACAGTAATACATCACTGAGATAATTACACACACACACCATGACTGATAATATCCTCTCACCTGTTTGTGATGGAGATGCACTGAAATAAATCAGTGTAGCATATTAATTAACCTAATCTGTATGAGAAGCCCCTCCCCCAGGAAACAGGGGTCTTGATGTGTTAGTGCCAGTCTCTAGATTTAGATGAATCTCTCCTGAGGATTGTGGGTAATTGAGTCTAGTACAGTGTTGACAGATGGTTTGTTTTTTCAACAGTCTCTAGATCTTCATATAGGCTTCATTATTACATTGACATTTATTTATGTAGCAGCTGCTTTTACCCAAACAGCTTATGAATGAGGAACACGACGACACAAGCGATTCATCCTGAGGAGACGACGGCATGGAAAAAGCCGCAGTACAGAGATCCAGTATAAATGAGTGAATTCTGTGGATATGAGTCTGTCGGAGTGCCTGCTGTGATGCAGGTGTGTTGATTCTCTGTCTGATGTTTGAAGGGCTTTCAGGTGTCCTGAAGCTGTTCCGATTGGGTTTGAGAAGAGCATTCCATCTTTGAAATGTGATGGATTTCCTGATGTGCCATGATTTATACTGTTAAGCCAGCACTAGAGTAGTTACCAATGGCCTTATTCTGTCTGTCTGTACCCTCTCTATCTGTATGTTCTGTTCTGTATGTTCTCTGATGTACTTCATGATAGTGAGTCATTCTGATGGGCCTGAATCAGATTATTCTAGTCTGAATGATCTTTAGTGGTGATTTCATAAGCATGAGTAGATGATCAGGTGAGTGTGTGTGTGTGTGTGTCAGGTGATCAGGTGTGTGTGTGTGTGTGTGTCTGTCAGGTGATCAAGTGTGTGTGTGTGTGTGTGTGTGTGTGTGTGTGTCAGGTGTGTGTGAGTGTGTGTGTGTGTGTGTCAGGTGATCAGGTGTGTGTGTATCAGGTGTTTGTGTGTGTGTGTGTGTGTGTGTGTGAGGTTATCAGGTGTGTGTGTGTGTGTGTGTGTGTGGGTGTGTGTGTGGCAGGTTT